GCGCAGGGGCTGCTCCCCGCAGCGGACAGTAGCGCCGGGGCTGGCCGTCACGGGGCACGCGCAGCCACGTCTAGGCCGCTCTACCTGATCCTGGATGACAATTTTTATTACCAGAGCATGAGATACGAGGTGTACCAGCTGGCTCGCAAATGTAATTACTCTTTGCCTCTGTGCGTAAGAACGCTTTCAGCTCTGTAGGAAATCCAGTTTTCTTTAACTGCCTTTCTTCTAAGTACTCTTGCAGGACATATGTTATTCTTAATTGCTAGACTCCTGCAGTAGAGTAAGCATCAACTTAACTTTACTACTGTATTACTAGAAATAGCTAGGTCACTTAAAGCCTTTCTGAGGTATGTTGATCTCAGAAATTACTACTTGAGCAGTCTTGAAGGTAAAATAGTTTGTATTCCTTCCAGGTTTTGTAGTCTTTTCAGGTTTTGTAGTCTTTTCAGGTTTTGTAGTCTTTCTAGGCTGAGAACTAGTGTAGAAATTACTCATTCATGCAAAGCCTTTCTCGTGCATGTTGCTCTCTGAAATTTTTACTTCAACAGTTTGAAGGTAAAATTGTCCGTTTATGTTCTTTTAGATTCCTTGAGCTTCTGCCAGTTATTTTTAGAGTGTCCACTTGAATGCTGCTTGCAGAGAAATCGTCTAAGAAGTCATCCGTTACCTGACCAGACAATTTATTTAATGGCAAGAAAAATAGAAATGCCAGATCTCAAGAAAAACACTTGGGAACGGAACAGCCTCATTCTGAAAAGTTTTGATTGCACTTCAGAGGATAAGTATGCTACTGGATTGATACTAGGGGTTTTCAATAAGTTCCGTTATCATAAACAAGGTTTTTACTCTATCTAAAAAATATATGTAAAAAATGTTCCAAATAGTGATTTTTGGAAGCCAGTCTATTGTACACAGTACATGCCAGTTGTTGGGAACATACAGCCATCATTCTTTGCAGAGTTCACCTCAAAACTAACTGCATTTCTAAACTGTTATGAAAATGTATGTAAATTGGCTGAAACAGCAAGACTAGAAATGATTTTCTGTGGTTTTAGTTTCAGTTGGTTTTCATCTAACTTGCTGTATAAAGATTATTTCATTGATTGCCTCATATATTTAACTGAAAACTTGGGGGTTTTTTTTCTGTGATGAGGTGTTATTACAAAATGAAAGAAAAATCTTCAGTGAAACTGTTTGATTAATGTGGCTTACTCTTTCGTTTGTGTTCTTAGTGAGCAGATTATTAGTTTGCTGGCCACAGCTTTGGAAAATCCAGTGAAGCAAAACGAGGAAAACACTGAGCAAAAGGTAGCACTGCTTGCCTTCACAGCCACAGCTCTTTCAGACAATGGTGAATGAGTTAGTTATTCCTGAACTGGATTCAGCCATGATGACAGGAATTGAGAAACAGCTAGTGCATTTCTTGATTGCAAAAGCATACAGAAAAGTTAATCCTATTTGAAATGTAAGGTACTTCTGTCACCTTATTAAGTTAAGCCACCGAAATACCGTTAAGAATACTGTTACATGTCCTATAGTAGTAAAAAGAATGCCCTTTGGAGCTCCCTCATCACACCAAGGAAAATAACATTCACTTCCTCCAGATCTTGACATAGATCTGTCTCTGGTAGTCACCCACATACATACCTGCTGCCGAAGGAGCAAGGGCACACTGCGCCAGTCACCGAGTTGCTGCTAACTTGGTACTTGTTTTCAAAGAGTACTTCAGAAGTTGATGACAGTCTAAATCAAATTTAATGTGTTTGCACTTATTCTTCCTTTCTGTTGGTCACCCTGGATAGGAGGCAGATCGAGCCATCTGTGCAGCTAGTACTGTCCATCAGGCTGATCAGACATGCAGACGAATCATCTCTCAGGCAATGAAGGATGCAAAAGGTACACGTAGCATATTTGACACGCTAGCTGGTGACATAAGACTAAACCTATGAAATTCCTTCAGGGTAAATTGTTAAGGAATTCCAACCCTGCAGGTGTGATTGAGGCCATATCCAGAAGTCTGGTCACAGTTATTTGTAGAATGTGAGATAAAGTCTGTAAATTTTGTCTTTAAACATTAAGTTAAAAGTTCAGCTGTAATTTTCTTTTAGATAAAAATGTACTCCCAAGCAAGATGAAGAACCTGGCAGAAGAACTCAACAAACTCAAAGCAGAATTTTTGGAGGACTTGCGGCAAGGAAGTAATTTGAAAAGCCAAATTTGCATACAAAATCAATATTCTGACCTTGCTACAAATGCAATTTCTTCATTCCAACATGAGGCAGCCAATGTAGTTAATAAATATATTTTTAAATAATGATATAATGTTGTGGGTTTGGGGTTTTTTGGGGTTGTTTTAAAAAAAAAAAAGAGTTCAGAGTGTTTAAAATGCAGTACTGTTTCAGCAGCAGTGCTAAAAACATCTGAGATAACAGCTTCCTTCTCTGGAGGCTTGTGCCTTCTCTAACTCCTCTCCCTGTATTATGGAAGAGAAATGCAGGCTAGTGCACTCTGTTTGACTTTGAAGATCAAGCCAAGAAGAAACCATTCTTAGATTTTAAATTCCACAGAATCATAAGAAAAGTTATCCTGAGAGGAACACCCAGAAGTCTAGATCTAGTCCCGTTTCCTGCTTACAGCAGGACTAACCTCAAGCTGGATCAGCTTTCTCAGAGCCTCCTCCAGCTGTGGTTTTGAAGAGCACCTTGGATGGGGACCTGCTCTGCACTGTCAAACAGGTAGCTGAGCACTTCCAGAGAACACATGTCTGGGAAGGTATCAAAACAGGAAGCGAGCTGGCTGGCTCTTGGCTTCTCAGCTTGTTTCCCTGACAGAAACTGCAATGAATCAGAATCTTGAGAGTTGTATGCACATATGTGGGATTAACTCCCATGTCCAACAGAACTTAAAACTTGGTGCCACCTTCAAAGGCGCTAATAACATACATAGAAGGTCCATATGCAGTGACAACCATGATGAAAACTCTAATTTCAGACACAGCAGCTCTTTTGGTAAGAAGGAATTACGAGTGTGAGGAAACAAAGGATTTGAAGATGACCAAATGTGCAAGTTAACAGTGGAAAGGAGTAAAAGCGTGTCCTGGTTCAGCACTAAAATTAAGCATTTTCAAGTTAAGCAAACTGAAACATAAATGCAGTGTTCCTTGTTTACCCAAAAGGCATACTTACCTTCCTTACCATATCTAGACTACAGCTAGTCATGAGCAGTTCACCAGTTCCACCTGTTGAAGCATATGCAATTAACTAACATGAGACTTAATGAGAAAGTGTTATTTTATTCATATCTTACAAAAAGCAAAGCTTCACAACATGAGCTACACTAGATATAGTAATTTCAGAATTAACCTTGTCATCTGAAAACATTCACTACACAATAAAATTTATTTTACAACTCTAACAGGTTTCATTTTTGCATACAAAATATGCTCTTTACACTGAAATACATATTATTAACAAAGCAGGTACTGAGAAGCACATACACAAAGATTGCTCAATGAAAAACGCTTCAGTAGGGGATAGATTTCCTGCAGCAGAACATCCATTTGCTGTAGATTTTCAAAGAAGCTCAACATTAATAGAAAACTTGCCAGTGAAGACTTCTAAATTACATTCCCTTCGTCAAAAATAAACAAAAAACAAACAAGCAAACCCCCCAAACATTCTGGAACAAAACAAGTAGCAACAGATCATTTTGCTAGGAAACACTGTTGGAACACGTCTTCCAGCACTGAGTAGTATGTTAAAATGCCAATCAACATTTTATGTCAAAATCCTCTTCACCTAAACATACATCTGTGAAAAAGCAACTATTTTTTCCCTATTAGCTGCTTCACAGTTGGTTTAAGTATTAACCAAGATAATTACTAAGATCTTCAGTGTAATATTTTCATGTTTGTTGGAAAATTCAGTCTCAAAATAAGAAGTCTGTATCAAGAGTACTACAAATAGTGCATATTAAAAATGTCAACAAATTATAAAATATTACAATAAAACCAAAAACCCCACAAAGTTAATGTTTTGCAACTACAGAACTTAACAGAGTCATTTTGGCTCATTCCCAAACTTCCCTGTTAATAACAGTTAAAATGCTAATCACCACCTTATAAGGATCTGTGTTTTCTTAAAAAAAAAAAGTTAGTGCAGTGTAGCACATGGAGAACTCAATACGAAAAGTCCTAACTGAGGACTCGATCCTACAATTCCTGACAAGTAGCCCTCACTGACTCTGCGTAAGGCCTGCTTCTGTAAGGGAATTGTCAGGACCACCCTCTAAAACAATTTTCCAGTACTAATTCCGGTCTTTAAATTATCGTAAATAGTATGAAAATACACCTCCCAAACCTACTCAGTAGACAGAAGGATATAGATAGGGTTACTGTTTGGCACAGCTGAACACACGGTATTGTGTTAGAAGATTAAGAATCCTAGGCCAGAAGGTGGCCTTCTGTGAAGGTCTAGGATGTCAGCAGGGATCCACCCCACAGCTCTGGCTGCAGAATCAAGGTATGAGCACCAAAGCCTGCTGCTGCTGCCCAAGAACGCCCTTGCAGATAGGAGCTTGCACATGGAAAGAAGGGAAAATATTTTTATCATTGTTCAACAGTTCAGAGATGGTCAAGCTAATTTTCTTTTCCTTAGGTAATCTGAAACTGAAACAATGCTATTAACAGTGTTAAAATACTTCTAAACAACAGTTTGCAAGGCTTTGGGGTTAGATTTTTTTCATACTGGATTCTATTATTAAGAACACATATTCCCCTGCAACAGAAGATCCCCTCCTAAATGAAGGCCCCTTTTCAATAAGATCACGCAGGCTTCCTCTTGCTACCAGCTACTCTATTAGTGACTTAACTATTCTCCTATCTAAAATTTCATTCAGGGGCATCACAGTTCAGAAGTCATTCTTCTAAATTGCCAAATCATTAGCCAACACAGAAAGAAAAGTCTATAATGTTTACAAGCACTGCCAATTAAAGTCCTAATAGATCACAAACCATGTAAATGAAATGGAAGGATGAAATCTCAACATTTGTGCACACTGGAGTTAACCTCCCTACTGATACCAAGAGGGAGAAAGGCTGGAGCCACAAACCAAGGAGAACTTGGCTGTTGCGATCGGCATCATTCAGTATTGGAAGGTGCTCCTTGAAGCACCACCATTTCAGATGTTTCCTTGCAGCTGCTAGAGCCTAGGAACAAAAGTTTGCATCATCTATCAAAACGCAAGGAAAATGACCTTTATAAATTACTAATTGTAATGGTCTTCAACCGTAACACCTGTTGTCCTCATATTGTATTTTAGCCAAATTTAGATTTTTAGAATGTGTCAGTATGTGATCAAAAGAGCGCTATCATTTCTACATTATTCTTTGACTGGAACAGTCACGTTACAAAACCCGTACAGGAGCAGTAACTTCCAACTGGATTCCAGTTCAGTCAACTTCTCGTCCTTAAAATAAAGGACTCCGTATGTTTATGCACAGAGAGTTGCAGTTTTGCTTATAAAATAAATTTTCAAAGTATAAAGCAACAAAGAGATATTTTGGAATTATAAACTGTCATTATGAAAAATGGAAATTACATTCCGTTTTTACAACTCCACTGAAATGAAAAAAAAAAATTCAGGTTTTTCAGGCCTGAAACCAAAAACATTTTTAGGAGCGATAGTGTGTTGTCATTCATCTTCGCTACATTGGAAATACTTCCGTGGCATATTTTTGACCTCATTACTACAAGACTACATGCAGCCAAGAATCCGGTTCCTTCAGCTGGTTACTTAAGCATGGTAAAGTCAACAGTAGTTAAGTTAGGTAGAGAGAAACATATTTGGTTCCCAAATTTCTAATTCATTAAAGTCAAAATTACTTCTAAAGCTCAAATTCTCAGAAGGGTGGTTTTTCCTGCATTGATCTCACATTGAAGTCATTGTAAGTTTTTCCACTGGCCTCAGGAAGCTTTCGCTTCCATCACAATATAAATTTGAATAAGCCAAACATTTGCTATTCAGATTCCAAACTTTGACTTGCAGAACATCAATAAAATCTTCCTGCTTTTAATAAAACATATTTGCTGCCATATTTTGCTGATAGTAAAGGGGGAATATATAAGGGAAGATTTAATTTGTCTCAAGTAAGACAAACTAAGGTAAAAGTGCATGTCTAAACATGGGAAAAGTAACAGTTACTCACTTTTTTGAAACATTACAAATTCCTGTGTAGCACATTAAGAGCTTTTCTTAATTTTGCTAGGATGTTGTATTTATTAAAGTGCCTGTCTGTTAGCCTAGGTGCTTCTAAAGCAAGATGTACAGTATAAAAAAAACATAAGGATGTGCAATGGACTTCATGTACATCTTTTGTTACCATTTGCCACCTACAACTGTTAATCACAATGACTTCAAATGTAGTCAGCCGATATTCCTTTGCCTACTACATCAACAGTTCAGAAAACCCAGAAGCCCTTCCCCTTATTTCTAGCACACCAAAAGGACAACAAATCTGGGGGAGGGGACAAGACAAAGTGACTTCCAAGTTAGCTGAAGTTTACAATAAACTAGATGATACAGCTTTCAAACATACAAGAAACGTACCAGTTTTAGCGTGGCCTGAGATAAAACTGAACAAATTATTTTTAATTTGTAAACCTCTTTTTTTGTTTCTATTAGAACTTCTACCACCAAGATAGAAGTCTAGTTGTGCAAATTGTAGATATCTGTACAAATTAGTTTAAGGCAGTTAATCTCATGGAATATATATTAGTTCTAGAAGCTCTTTATTATGACTGTTTAAAAATTACCACCTTTTTAAAAGAATGACATGTAAAATTTTGGTAAGTGTAGTTTAGAATAACATGTCATATTTAATTTTTCTTTTGTACAACTAGTGAATGACAAGCTTTTAACTCTTCCTTTTTTCCTAACAGAGTTTCATTCACAATAACCTGTTATCTTCTAGTTTTGTGATGAGTTTTTAAAATAATAGTTAGTGTTTGAGCCCTAGCATGAAAAGTTTTGGCTATACTAAGCAAAAACTTATTATTAACCTTCATCAGATGAAAGCAAGATTTATCCCAAATTTAATTTTTATGTGAAAGTTGCTTCTGTTTCTTTTTCCAATTTGGAGGAGCTAAGTTTTTAAGGATGTCTCCAAAGTAACCATATGTGTCATTGCATTAACCTTCCATATTTTATGGTTAATATATTTTGTTTTGCCTAGTAAACAATCTGACGATTGCATCCTATGTTTCAGGACACACATTCTGCTTCTACACTTGTAGAACGTTTCTTGGGATTAAGTGC